GCCCAGTTCAAGACCAGCAAAACCAAAAGGCCAGTTGCCCTTTTGGGGCAAAGAGTTAGTTGGAAGATGGGTTCTAGAGGCATCAGCTGTGGGGGTCAGAAGCAAGAGGGAGCAAATGACAAAAGCAACACTGGGTTCCTGCAACACACACTCTACCTTGGGTTCAGTTATGGTGATGTTGTTGTGTGCATATGCAAAAAAGGATGGAGCTAGCTGTGCGACAGTGAAACCAATAAATCTTGGGAGTGCTTCTGCTTGATCCAACTTGGAATTACTCTCTGTGCTTGCTCCTTCCAGTCTCCGGGATTGACTCTGTGTTGTGATCCTTGGACAAGACTTTGGCTGCTGTGGCTGTCGCTCTTCCTTACTACAACAAAGATCTTCTGATTTCCAGATCTTGTCTTCCAGATGATATAAATTCTGCTCCTACAAAGGGTCCTCAGCTGAGACTGGAACTTCCATTGCTAAGTGATGAAGTCATTAAGGGATTCATCACATGACCGCACCCAATTTTATGATCCTTTTTTTTGCCACAGTTAAGCGAATCATAGTCCTTAAGTGAAACCAGATTTCCCCCCTCCCCCCCCAACTTTTCTTGATGGAAGGTTGCAAATGCTGAAATCATCGTAAATATATGCTTGGTTGCCAAGTGCCTGGATGACAATCACACGACCATAAAGATGCTGTAATAGTCCTAAGTGCGAGGACCAACTGTCACTTTTTCCAGCGCTATCGTTAACTTGGAACAATTGCTAAGCAAATGGTTGTAAATCAAGGACTATCTGAACCCCTCAGAGATTACGATTGATTGTTTCATTCACTAATTCAGCTTGGCTGTCCCCCCCCCCAAAAATTGTGGCCTTCCACCCCTAGGATTTGCAGCCAGAGCAGGGAATGCTGGGAAGTGAAGTCCACTCCATCTGGAAGGAGGCTGCCTTAGCCACCCCTGCCAGGAAACTGATAAAAAAAGGTACCTGAATGCCGGCATGACTACACAGGTAGAAGTCAAACTCAAAGGGGTGAGTAATGTTCGTATCAACTGTAGTTCCTGCTGGTATGTTCCCACTTTTGCCAATCTGCGAAAGAAAGAAAGAAAGAAAGAAAGAAAGAAAGAAAGAAAGAAAGAAAGAAAGAAAGGAAGGAAGGAAGGAGGGAGGGAGGGAGGGAGGGAGGGAGGGAGGGAGAGAGAGAATAAAGTTAAACACAATAGAAAAAGCAAAGGATACCACGCAAAGTTTCCATAAAAATTGCCAGGACCTTTAACTGTACAATTTTGCATTGCAGTTTGAGTTACAGGGAGTCCTCGAATTCATTTAGTGACCGTTTGAAGTTACAACGGCACTTATGCCGGTTTTCATACTTACAATCACTGCAGCAGCAGCAGCCACCCCCCGTGGTCATGTGATCAAAATTTGGCCGCTTGGCGATTGACTCATAGTTATGACGTCTGCAGTGTCCTGGGGTCACGTCATCACCTTCTGTGACTTTCTGACAAGTCAAGGGGGAAGCCAGATTCACTTAACAACCGTGTTACGAACTTAACAATGGCAGCGATTCTCTCAACAACTGTGGCAAGAAAAACGGGGCAAAACTCACTTAAGAACTGTCTTGCCGTTGTTAGTTTGGGGCTCGGTTGTGGTCGTGAGTCAAGGACTACCTGTATGGGCATGTGGTTTATTTATCATAATGCATGGTTCGGTGTGTGTGTGTGTGTGTGTTTGGTAAGGCTTTCTCGCAGCTTCTACATCTGCGGTCCTGCAACTTCAACTTTATCTAAATCAGTGTTTCTTAAGCTATTTGACCGAATTAGTTCCTTTCCCGGGCTCAAATCATTTCACTACTCAACAAAGAGACAAAGGGACTCTGTGGTTCTACCCAAGCACAGCACCAGTCCAATCGCAAGCGAGCAATTACAAATGGCTCCATTATAGCCAGGACACACTCTAATCTCGCACATACACAAACACGTTTTAGCACCGCCGATTTAAAATTTGAAAGAGTTGAAGGCAAATCTCGATGCTCAAGGTAAGCTGTCTAAGCAGCCTTTGAACTGCAGGATTTTATTTATTTATGTAGAAAACTTATATGGCTCCCAACTCACTCACAGGGGACGCCGGTGGTTTAGAGAAGTAAAACCGCAAGGCAAAAACCCAATTAATCTCTACACACACACACACACACACACACACACACACACACACACACAGTGCTCATTTGTGAGCCTCACCCTCTCGTTTTTGTCTGCACAGAAGAGGCGAGTGTGGTGTCTTTTCTGAACCACAATGTAGGTGATCCCCGGCTGGTAATCCTTCTCCAGTTTAATGCAGGCATCTCGGATGGCCAGAAGCTCATAATGAAGGATCTAAGGAAGGAAGGAAAATAATACTTACACAATGAGTAGAGGAGACCGTGAGAAGCCCACCTTGAGTATTCTTTTGAAACCCCCCCCCCAAAGGATATAGAGATCGTATAAAATAGGGCTGCGTAGAAGTTGTTCACTGAAGATTAGAAATTAGGAAGATCCAGCTATAACATGATTGTGGATCCTCAACTTACAACCAGTTGTAAGTTGTGGCCGTCAGAAGGTACAACAGCTTTGAAAAAAAAAGTCCTCACACTTAATGACCTTTCCAGCCTCTCCACAGTTACACGATCAAAATCCAGGTACTCGGCAACTCGCGTGTTTTTGCAAAAAAACAGTCAATGGGGAAGCTGCATTTGCTTAATGACCGCAGATTCACTTCACAAGAGCGTAAAAGGTCATAAAATCCACTTAACTGCCTTGCTTAGCCACAGAAATTCTGGGCCCAACTGAGGTCGTAAATGGAGGACTTTGACTGAACAACAGTCCGCTTAGTGTCCATTCAAAGTTACAACAGCACTGGGGGAAAAAAAGTGACTTAGGCCCATATTTCACACTTGTGACCGTTGCAGCATCCCCAGGGTCACCTGATTTACATTCCGATGCTTGGCAGCCGACTCACGTTTGTGACGGTCGCGGTGCCCCCGAGTCGCGCAGCCCCCTTTTGCAAACCTCCGACAAGCAGAGTCAATGGGCAAAGCCTGAGTCACTTAACAACCAGGCTACTAATTTAAGAACTGCAGGGATTCATTTCACAAACGTGGCGAGAAAAGTTGCAAAAGGGGGCAAAACTCCCTTAACAAATTAATACTGAATAAATTTGGGGCTCAGTTGTGTCTAAGTTGAGGTCTACCTGTGGCTGCACCATAGGAATTTGGAAGTTGTGCTAAAGAAGGAAAGGTGGCTCTACCAATCCAAGGTGGACCAGAGAACTCAACTTCTCCTTATCCCAAAAGGTGCTTTTTCACGAGGCAACTGGACTTTCTCGTTTTTCTTTGAAGACGTTTCGCTTCTCCTCCAAGAAGCTTCTTCAGCTCTGACTGGATGGTGGGGAAGGGAAGGATTTATACTCCTTGCAGACAGCTGGTCATTTGCCTTCTTTCAGAGAGTCGTTGAGGCCACCTGGAGGTCTATCTGTATCTTCAGGGTCATTTGAGTAGTGCAAAAATGGGAGTGGAACACAGTCCTTTCAGCAATTCCAAGAAGGCTCCACTCCCATTTGCACCACTCAGGTGACCCTGAGGACACAGATAAACCTTTAAGTGGTCTCAACGGCTCTCTAAAAGAAGGCAAATGACCAGTTGTTCGTTTTTCTTTGAAGATGTTTTGCTTCTCATCCAAGAAGCTTCTTCAGCTCTGACTGGATGGTGGGGAAGGGAAGGATTTATACTCCTTGCAGACAGCTGGTCATTTGCAGTCTTTTGGAGAGTCGTTGAGGCCACCTGGAGGTTTACCTGTGTCCTCAGGGTCACCTGAGTGGTACAAATAGGTGTGGAGCCTTCTTGGCTGCAAGATGTTTTCTGCCCTGGGTCCCTTCACCGTTTAAGACCAGCGCAGGCTGTTGGGGATGAGTCCGTGTGGTCTGCATCTCAAACTGAAGTGCAAATGGCTCCTGTAGCCTGCAATGTTTTCTGGAGATCCGTTCACGCTCCAGCACCATTCGAAGGGTGTCCATCCCCAAGTGCATGGCTAAATGTCCATGGAGGTTCTCCGTCCTCCAGGTCGTGGTTGTCCCAAAGGGGCTTTTCCAGGGGGCAACTGGACGTCCTTGTTTTTCTTTGAAGATGTTTCGCTTCTCATCCAAGAAGCTTCTTCAGGTTCTGACTGGATGGTGGGGAAGGGAAGGATTTATACTCCTTGCAGACAGCCGGTCATTGTGAGAATGCAAGGAGTATAAATCCTTCCCTTCCCCACCATCCAGTCAGAGTTGAACAAGCTTCTTGGATGAAAAGCGACACAACTTCCACGAAAAACAAGGAAGTCCAGTTGCCTCCTGAAAAAAGCATCTTTGGGATAACTAGGACCTGGTTGACTGAATCTCCATAGCCAAAATTCCTCCTCCTATGGAAGACCTGATCCTCCAGAAGGGGCAGCCAGGAGAAGTCTTCCTCACCTGTGGCAACTGTCCCTCAGGCACGCCATCCCGGTAGAAGATAATGCGTGTCGGCTTGAAGCGTGTGGACTTGTAGAACTGGATGAGGAGCTCTCGAACCATATAGGAAAGGTCTTCAATGATTTCCTGGCGTGGCCGCTGTACTCGAACCGTGGCACAGTAGCGGCTTGGGTGGGCATCCATGCTGCCCACTACCTGCAGTCAACCAAGAGGCAACGTCTATAACTTGCTCACAGTGAAAATGGGAGGCAACAGATGTTAGCCGGTTCTCAAAAGCTTTATACAGCATTTTTGGCTGGCTTGGGAAGGGGAGTCTAGGAGGAGGGGAAAACACTGTTTTATATAAAGCATGGACAAACCATGCTTAAAAAATGGATGATTGACTAAATTGTAATTGGCTATATATTAAGATGGAGATCAGGAGAAGGACATTAGGGACCCATGAGGTCCCACCCTTGCTTTAACAGTCTTAATAATTTTTATTTTGGGATGGGAGGAGAGGAGAGGAGAGGAGAAAGAGAAGAGAAGAGAAGAGAAGAGAAGAGAAGAGAGGAGAGGAGAGGAGGGGAGGGGAGGGGAGAGGAGAGAGGAGAAAGAAGAGGAGAGGAGAGGGGAGGGGAGGAGAGGGGAGGGGAGGGAAGGAGAAAGGAGAAAGAAGAGAAGAGGAGAGGAGAGGAGAGGAGAGGAGAGGAGAGGGGAGAAGAGAGAGGTGAAAGAAGAGGAGAGGAGAGGAAAGGAGAGGAGAGCGGAGAGAGGCGAAAGAAGAGGAGAGGAGAGGAGATAGGAGAGGAGACTCCTAAAACGAGGTCTTCTGCTGAGACCCCATTTCCACCAGAATTCCAAAACTGAGCTATCTTTGCTTTGTTCATGACCACAGCTTAGGAAAAAGTGAACTTACAGCTGTTATGGAGGGCTTCTTTCCATCCCCAGCTGGAGGATGAGTCACATCAGCTCCCAGGAATATAACTGGCTGCTGAAAAACGGCCGATCTAGGAGCAACATGAAGCAGGAGTTTTTAACACAAAGGATTGCCAAAGATGGTTCACAGATGACTGAGAGTAGAGATACCACAGGTACCTTTCGACGGACAACCATTCAAAGTAACAAAGCACTGAAAAGGCCTCTTTACCACCAGTTCAGGACTCCGCGATCAGTTTGACAAAGGACTTGGGGTTTTCCTTGGGCTCAAAAGACGAAGACAGAGAACACAAGGGAAGTACAAAGTCGGAACAAAGAAGGTGGTCTCCCTTCGTCCCCGAGCAATACGTACCGCTGATGGGGCACCAAGATATTGTTAATTCCACCAAGTTTAACATTGATCTTGAGACAGAGGTTGGAAAGAGTCTGGGGGGAAGTCTTCACCACATTTTTGACCTGCACACATTGAGTGGCCATGCCCAGGAGAGTGTCCCCTACACGCTTCACCTCCGCTGCAGGGAAAGAACAGAGCATCAGAGATGAAGAGAGTGGCCGCCACAAAAGGAGGATTCCTGTTTAGCCCACACAGATGCCTTTAGGAAGACCTCAATTAGCACAGGGGAATCCTCAGCTTGGAATTCTGGGAGTTGAAGTCCATGAGTCATAAAAGAGCCGAGGTTGCCTACCCCTGGACTAGAGTCTTAGACTAAAATATAATTTTTTTTTAAAAAAAAAAAGAAAGTCAAGCAAAATGGTTCTCCAGCACTGGAGATGGAGAATCCACCAATGGGTTAACTCTGCCTTCCTGGTTTCAGTCTATTCATTTTCCTGCTGAAGGGGAACAGGCAGGTAGTAAATAAAGACTACCCTTCTCAAATGCTCTTCCTGACACCCATTCTGATGACATACCGTAGACCGGTGTCTTCCCCGGCAGAATGACGATGATGAGCTGGAGTCCTGAATATGTGTTTTTCAGATGTCGGAACATGGGCTCCACACTGTCAGCACCTTGTGCGTATTTACAGAAGCAAGGCTGGCCCTGGATTGGCATCCCCGCGTCCTTAGATATTTTGCGCAGTTGGTCCGTGAAGTTCCTATCCAAAGAAAACAGAAAGCCAGATCAGAAAAGGGCAGGCGAATTTTTCACAATTGATATGCTGCCACTCAGAAGGAAGCAGCTTGGCTCATTGCTATAGAAATGGCTAGTAGTTGACTATGAAATCTGGGGAACTTTTTATGATTGGCTGAAAAGAGAATACGGTTAAAAGATAGTTAACATCAATTTAGATGGAAGAAGAAGGAGCAGATAAGGAGGGAGACCCAGGCGACATAGTATTGAATAACTGGAGGTTGTATACATATTTATAGACGTATATACTGAGAAGGTTAGATAAATAGAAGTATTAATGTANATGAGAGGGAAGAAAGGAGAGGAGAGAGAAAAGAGTAAAGGAGGGGAGAAGGAAGTAGGAAGGTTGGAGGAGAGAGTGGTGAAAGAGAAGAGGAGAGGAGAGGAAGAAGAGGGAAGTAGGGAAGAAAGAGAAGGAAGGGAGAAAGAAGGTAGAGAAGAAGGAGTGGGGATGCAGTGAAAGGGGAAATGGGCGAGCAACATCAAAAGTCATGTGTATGTATTTATTTCATTAAAAGTATCTTATATATAAGAATGTAAAAAGAATGTATGTTAATATCTGATAAATATCACGGTATATGTATGGGGGAAAGTTTGGAAAAATAAAAAATAAATTAAAAAAAAGAAAAAAAGAAATGGCTAGTAGTTGCTATTTGGTATAACTAAAAAGTTTAAGAAGTGTGGACTTCAATTCCCAGAATTCTCCAGCCCAGGAGTTGAAGTCCACCTGTCTTAAACTTGCCAAGGTTGAGAAACACTCAGCCTAAGGAATGGGGCCAGAATGGAAGAAAAGTAGGAAAGTATTACATCAATATTCCCATACTTTGTGAATTCTCTCTCTCTTTTGGGAAAGGCAGAAAATAAGCTTGTTTCCAGCAAATCATTGTCTATTCAGCTGAACATGATCTAATCCAACTAGAGACAGGTCCTTATTTGGAGAACCTAGAGATTCCGCCTGGAATCTTCTGTACATAAGCAAAGTGTAAGATTTTGCGCATCGTGCATAGGGAATGTCTTTTAAATCTCAAAAAAGGAAAATGAAAATCAACAAACCTTTTAATTTTACAATTGTTTTATCTGGAATCTTGGTCATCTCATGTAAGAACCCAGCCTTTTTGCCACATTTGACATTCCAGCAAGAACTGTAATTTATTTTTTTCCAAAGCTGTTGCAAAGGAATTATTGTTTGTGGGGTCCTTGGTGCTCTCAGAGCTTGTTTTCTTGCAGATGTTTTACTACCCTACTAGATTACATAATCAGCACTGATGCTGTAACCTAGTTGGGTAATAAGACGTCTGCAAGAAAACAGCCAAACTCAGAGAGACTACAGTTCAACCCTCAGTTACAAATATTATCTTCTATTGCAATTATTATTTTGTTTAGTCATGCTGGGAAAGACAATGGGCAGCAACGGAGGTTCAAAAATTACAGTAAATTGCCTCTGGATTTACTGATTCACGGTTGACACCTTTGCACCGAATCAAGCCATCTTTTTTATGCTGCTTCAACCTGCCTCTTTCGACCAGCAGTATCTGCCCAGCTTTTCAAAACAGGGGGTGTTTCAGGCCTGGCTTATGCTGACAACTCTTTCTGGTCCTTCTAGGACAGGGGTAGGCAACCTTGGTTCTTTTATGACTCGTGGACTTCAACTCCCAGAATTCCTGAGCCAGCCATGCTGAGGGGAAAGGGAGAGGTTTCCAAGCTGAGCCATGTTGGCTCAGGAATTCTGGGAGTTGAAGTCCACGAGTCATAAAAGAGCCAAGGTTGCCTACCCCTGTTCTAGGAGCTCTTTCATTTCTTCTGCCCTCCCACGTGCTCCACTCACTTACTTCAGCACTTCTTCTCTGCACTGCTTCTGAGGGGCAAAGCACGCGATGGCCCACACTTTGATCTCGATCCCATTGTAGAACTGCTTCCCTCGCATATCCCAGACCCCCTGATTGGGCGTGGCGATGGCACGATTCTGTGGGAGAGAAAAACAAAACCTGTAGGAGAAGAAGGGGCAGAGCCTGTGGCGGCATCAAGAAAGCAATCGGCCTAGAGTCATTGTGTTGCCATAATGATCCACGTCCAGCCCCCTTGAATCCCACTGACTCTTACCTAACCCCAGTTTAGTTAGTTGACTAGATTCTTTTGTACAGGCTTGAGAAATAAATCTGTAGCTTTTTGTGTGGTCCTATTCCTTTCTGCCTGACAAAATCCATATCTCAAAGATCCGGATTTTGGGTTGTGGGGAGGGATAACTTGCCTTCTGTGGTTGTGGGTGTTCCATTAGCAAGGTTTTCAAAAATCAACTGGACAGACATTTGACTGAGATAGTATAAGACAGTGATGGTGAACCTTTTAGAGACCGAGTACCCAAACTGCAACCCAAAACCCACTTATGTATCATTGGGTGCTAGGTGGGCGTGGCCAATTGGGTGGGCATGGCTTCAGTGATAACGGCAGACTGGGTGGGACTAAAAAGTTCAATCAATCAATTCCAACTTTGCGAGATCTTTTTTTTTTCCCCCGCGAGAAGTTGAAATTGATTGATTGAACCTTTTTTTTTTTTTGCACATGGCGGCGGAGGCCTAAAGCGAAAAGGTTGTATAAAACCCAGCTGAAGGCCTAGGACTGGGGTGACAGTGCGCATGCCCAGAGAGAGGGCTCTGCGTGCCACCTGTGGCACACGTGCCATAGGTTCGCCACCATGGGTATAAGACTTCTGCCTTGACTAAGAGGTGAACTAAAGAGTCCCCAATTTTTCTGGCTTTGCGGACCGGCAGGGGGGAGGAGATGGTTCCATGTGAGCGGCAGGCAAGCATGTGTGCAGCTCCATTTACGCAAGCAGCAGGCACGCATACCCGCTGCTCGCACAAATGGCGCATGCGCTGGCCCCCTGCTCGTGCAAGTGGGGATAAGCACATACTTGACCGCCACTTCTGCAGCTCAGTTCTGAATGGCTCAAGGCTCCCATGGCCTTGGACTAGAAGACCTCCAAGGTCTCTTCCAGTTCTATGATTCTGTGATTTGTTGGAGAAGAGATTTGCCTGGATTTTATCCTTTAAAAAAAAACCCTGCTTCTAGAGAAATAGAAATGTCTTTCCCCTCTTTTTTCTAAGATCACAGCTAAGATTCTCAAAAAGCCACACGCTACTCCAGATTCTGAAGGACGGATTGATATGAGCTAACAAATATATACACATCTCAGGCCTCAGTAGTGCTTGTGACTAAAAGCAGCCCAGAGGTTCTTTACTACTCACCCGGCCTCCATATTGTAAAATCGGAGCTGGCAAGACCCGCCCAGTCACTTCGGTCATGTCATCTTTCACTTTTATGCCAAATTCCTGTATGTATGGGTCCAGGTTATAACTGGCGTTTTTCATCTGCAAGACAAAGCGAGGTTGAAGTTTTTCAAACAAGCTAGTCTCTCTAGGGCAGTATTTCTCAACTTTAGCAACTTTAAGGTGGGTGGACTTCAACTCTCAGAATTCCCCAGCCAGGCCACTCAACCTAAAGTTGCCAGTTTTGAGAAACACTGCTCCAGGGAATAGGGCAAGAGATGGCTAATTCCTAGACCAGAGCTCTTCAAACTTGGCCCTTTTAGGACTTGTGGACTTCGACTCCCAGAATTCCTCAGCCAGGCATGCTGGCTGAGGAATTCTGGGAGTCGAAGTTCACAAGTCCTAAAAGGGCCAAGTTTGAAGAGCCCTGCCCTAGATTCTTGGGTTATTTAAACCAGCCTCGCTGAAATGGGCATCCTCTAGATCTATGGCCCTTTTGACTTATGGACTTCAACTCCCAGAATTCCTGAGACAGCCATGCCAACTCAGGAATTCTGGGATTTGAAGTCCACAAGACCTCAAGGGGCCATAGTTCCCCACCTCTACTCCAGATGATCTGAGACTGGGTCTCTCATAATTCTCAGATGTCTCGACACTTCTGGAAGAAGTTGGTGAAGACTAATCTAACTAAGGCTAGGCAATTAGAGTGAACTTGCTGGAAAACTGAAGACATCTTATTGAACAATAACCTCCCTCAACACAGCCAACTGAGGGCCCAACATCTTATCCATATGTGGTTATAAGCATCCAAAGGATCATCTCTTTCTTCTCCTACCCAACACATTATATTATTCCCCTTGTAGCCCCTGCATTAATACTAAACCCTACAAAAGAAAGATGTCAACGCTGCTAACATTGGATGTTCTTGCTTTGACAAAATATGAAGAGGCAGCCACTCTCTGTATAAGATGTGTGGTATTTTTAGAGTTAAATTAGATGATGCTGGGAGGGGAGGAGAAAGAATTTGTGTGGGGATTAGTTAAGATAAGAAACCCTGGGCTACAGAACTGGAAGGGAAACTTTGCCCTTCAAACTAATTGGAGAACGTGATTTATGACTGCATATTAGAGGAGGGGAATATACTGGAATATTATGTGCTCAGGGGAGGGGAATTCAGATCTTGGCATCCACCATGCTGTGCCCACACTTTGTTTCACGATTAAAGACTTTTTAGGATAAACAATGCCTGGAAGTTCTTTGAAGTGTTTCATTTAGTCAGAACCACAACATCAGGCTGAAGCTGAGACAGAATGCGGGCAGTCCTCAACTTACGACAGTTGGGACTGAAACGTCCATCACTAAGTGACGTGTTTGTTAAGCGAGTTGTGCTTGATTTTAGAACCTTTTTTGCTGCACCTATTAAGCAAATCACATGATTGTTAAGTGAATCGTGCGACCGTTAAGTGAATCTGGCTCCCCCCCCCATCAATTTTCCTTGTCGGAAGCCCCTGGGGCAGTTACAAATGAGGACTACGTGCTACAATGGTTGTAAATATATGCCGGTAGCCAAACACCTGAAATCTGATCACAGGACTGCAGGGACACTGCAACAATTTTAAGTGTGAGGACTAGTAATAAGTCACTTTTCCAGCAGCACGGCAGCAGTTAAATGAACGCTTGTACACTGAACTGTACACAGCTGGTGTGTTATTAGCCAGAGCCAAGAATTAAACTCCTGCACTCTCTTCCTTCTACGTCAGACATGTCAAACACAAGGCCCGGGGGCCGGATGCGGCCCGCGAAGTGGTTTCATGTGGCCCGCGAAGCCATCCTGGAAACAGTGACGGAACGGCCCCCGCTGCCTTGGCCCTGGTCCAGGCCGGCCGGGAGCCAATGTACAATTTTGTGGTGGCCATCTATGCTGAAACGCATTCAGTCTTAGCTCCAGAAGGCCGTCTAGAAACAGCGAGGAACCCGCCCCTGCCCCCTGGGTGCATGCTGGGGAGGGGTCATCCTTTGTGAGGAATGAAGAAATGGACCATGCCTTGGCGCTTGCCCCAGTCCCACCCCCTTCTGCCAGAGACCCTCAGATCTGTCCCACTCCTGCCCAGGCCCCCACAGGCACCCTTGACGCGAACGATGTCGAACCCAGTAGGCCACACCCACTCCATCCACGCCCACCCAGTAGGCCGCACCCACCCAGCTCCCAGAGGGCAACCGCAATGCTGATGCGGCCCTCAATGAAATTGAGTTTGACACTCCTATGTTACAACAGCACGGTGCTCTGAGCTTCTTACACCCTCATGCTGACACAAAGAAGGTCCCCTCTGATTCTGGCATCATCCCCACAAAAGGAAGAGCTACTTACCAACCGGCTAATTTCTTCTTGCCTGTCTGGCGCAGATCGTGCTGTAGCTTTGATCATGGTAGACGTCTGATTGTCCGTCAATTTTTTGATGCACCGCTGGCCAGCTACAATGTTACACACCTGGAGAAATGGGCAAGGAAGAGGCAGGTATTCGTTTAAACCAGGGGTCTTCAAACTTGGCCCTTTGATGACTTGTGGACTTCAACTCCCAGAATTCCTCAGCCAGGCACGCGTGCCTGGCTGAGGAATTCTGGGAGTTGAAGTTCACAAGCAGGGATCTTCCAACTTGGCCCTTTGATGACTTGTGGACTTCAACTCCCAGAATTCCTCAGCCAGCGTGCCTGGCTGAGGAATTCTGGGAGTTGAAGTCCACAAGCAGGGGTCTTCCAACTTGGCCCTTTGATGACTTGTGGACTTCAACTCCCAGAATTCCTCAGCCAGGCACACGTGCCTGGCTGAGGAATTCTGGGAGTTGAAGTCCACAAGTCATCAAAGGGCCAAGTTGGAAGACCCCTGGTTCAAAACTACCACCTTTCCTTGAACTCAAAAATGGATGAAAACAATGACAATGTCATGTTTTGTGTATCGTCCTGATTTGCCAAACCCTGGTTTGAGTAAAACAAAATTAGTTGGGACAACACATCATATTCAGAGTTGATTTGCTTAGTTTTACCTTGCTGGCTGTGCTACTGTTGCTCAAGCCCACACAGTAAACTCAAGCTACAAATTAGGGTTTACAAACCACGAAGATTGGATTCACACACATGCTGAGCCAAAATCCAATATATCACACGATGGCGTAGTATTATCTAGTTCAAGAAAGCAACACCCTCCTACACAAGTTACTTTGACAGGATCCACAGCAGCAACAAAAATACTAATAGAAGATTCTGGCTTATTTATCCACTGGTACTTCAGTCAATTATTATTATACTTTTATCTTCTGTATTTCATTCATCTTCCTTGCTATATATCTTATTTACTACTTCCAAAGTGACATATATGTGTATTTATATACACATACAGGTAGTCCTCAACTTACAACCACAATCGAGCCCAGAATTCACGTTTCTTAAGTGAGAAATTTCTTAAGTGAGTTTTGTCCCGGTTTATGACTTTTCTTGCCACAGTTGATAAGCGAATCCCTGCAATTGTTGAATTATTAAATTAGTAACATGGTTGTTAAGTGAATCTGGCTTTCCCATTGAATTTGCTTGTCGGAAGGTCACAAATTACACGACCCTGGGACACCGCAACTGTCCTAAATATGAGTCAGTTGCCCAGCCTCTGAATCTTGATCACATGACAACAGGGATGCTGCAAACGTCATAAGTGTGAAAAATGGTCGTAAGTCATTTTTTTAGTGCTACTGTAACTTTGAACGGTCACTAAACAAATTGTTGTGAGTCGAGGACTACCTGTGTGTGTGTGTGTGTGTGTGTATATGTGTATATATATGTGTGTGTATATATAGATGTATGTGTGTGTATATATGTGTGTGTGTGTGTGTGTGTGTGTGTATAAAGTTTTTTTTTTCCAGGTCAGACCGGTCTGGTTGATGCACCTTGGTATTTTGACTGCTGTGTGTGTGTGTGTGTGTGTGTGTGTCAGTGCTTAGTGACCATATGGCTGCATGGAGTTATTTCCTTTGATCCTAATAGAGAACAATCCCTACAGACAGAAATCTTGCCAAACTAAAGCAATTGCTTGCATCGCTAAAGGTAGATTCTGAGAACGTCTAAGGAGGAGCTGCCTTGATCCTCTTCCTCTCAACCAACTCTCTAAACCAGTGATGGCAAACCTTTTAGAGACCCAGTGCCCAAACTGGGCATGGCTGGGTGGGCGGGGCCAGGGTGGCGGGGGCCAGTCCCTCGCCATCTCCAGGGCATGGCATGCGTGCCTACAGAGAGGGCTCTGAGTGCCACCTCTGGCACGCGTGCCATAGGTTCGCCACCACTACTCTAAACTTTGCTCTCTCTTGGTCCTCTGGAATGCAGCCCCTCCCCCCCCGGGAATCCGGACTACATTTCCATCCCATGGAACTGAAACGGGTCCGAGCAAAGAACAGAGCGTGGCTACATCAGTACGTTCTCTGCAGGGACTGAACCCAACGCTGCCTGGTTCCAGAACTACCACCACCATCCCAATGGCTCTTACCTCGAGAGGCAGGTAGGTGTGCTTTTGCTCTTGGCCGACCTGAAGACAGGGCAGGTGGGGGTACTTCAGCTGCAGGTTGTACTTCTGCTTGAAGTATTGTGCAACGGTGCATTCCACAGTTTGTCCGCTCTCCAGCTGCAGGGGGAACCTGTGGAAGCAGAACGAGACGCCCTTAGCGAGCCAATGCCCTGACATCATGAAGAGAGATTCAGCTTCCCTGCTCCCAGGCTTCCAGAGAGACCCACCAGGATCTTTAAACTAGGGCAAAATCCATATTGTGGGATCAAAACACAAGCTTGCCTTTTTGTATTTGTCTTTACACGAATGCAAAAAGGCAGATGTTCCTGTTCTGATACAGGTAATCCTCGTTGTGCGACGGCCTCAGACAGCGACCACTCGCAGTGGTGAGGGGTGATTAAAAAGTAACTTTGTAACCAACACCTGCATTTATGACCTTCACCGGTCGGTAAAGCAGAGCAAAGCTAAAGGAAGATTATAAGCCACAGTTGTGGTTTCATGTTGTTTAACAATTGACCTGCCGGTCCCAACAGTGGTCACTAAACAAGGACTAACTGTATACGTTTCTTCATTCAACTGCTCCTGACTTACGTTTGGTGACTAGCTGGGCGCCGAGTGACATTACAGACGCGGTACTTCCTCTTCATTTGTCCACAGTGAGTTACCTCCACTTTCAAACCTAGTGAAAGAGAAGATTAAGTTTACAAGGAATTGTAGTTTTAGTTCCATTCAAAGCTACCACCTTCCTTCCCTCTATTTTAATTATTCTATTTTAGTACATAAGATTCTCCATTAAAATTACAATTACAAGGATTTAATGAACAGAAGTTGTGAGGTTCTGATGTCAACAATTACAAATACTTATTCTGTTCTATTCTTGCACAAAACTCTGAAATTGCAAGTTTTTCTCGTGTTAGAATACCTCACCAAAGAATGATTTCTTAATCATTTTTATATTCAACAGGTTTGCCTCAATACGTAATGACAATTATTACTACATGCATTAAAATTGGATTATGACAGCAAAGTTAACAAAGTTGGTAAGAGTCCATCAACTGACAGAATTAAGATGTTAAAAAAATCTTTTCATACTTGCTTATTTTACAATCTGTATACAGATTTTAAAAAATGCTTATTCTGGAATTCATGTTGCTCATGAATTATTTCACTATAAAGAAATAACTAAGCAACTGTATAATACATTCCCCCCTGAAGTTCATTTTGGACTGAGAAAGTAAATAAATCTCCCAAATAAATATGTTTTTTTTTAAAAAAAATACACAGTCCAACTCCTAACATGCTTATTTAAAGGGGGGGGGGGAATCAGAGGTATCTCAAGTCTCCAATGACCCTTTCCAAGAAAATATGCTTGTGAAAAAATCTGCAGGAATGTGCCACAAGCTTTCTGAACACTGTCGGTTCCACAGGACCAGACACACGATAAGAAAGCCTTGCTGACTTAGATGCAACTTAAATCTTAATTTTTAATTCAGTTCAGCACCAGTACTCTCCGTGTCAGTTTAAAAGAAAGAGATGGAACACAAGTTGGTGGACAAGAAAAAAATAAAGGTAATCAGGAACAGGCCTACATTTCTGGTTGATAGGCAAAGGATGCTGGTAGTGGGTGGGTGGAACAGGGAAAGACTGTGGCATAATTTTTTCATACATACTGTGTTTCCCCGAAAATAAGACCCACCCTGAAAATGAACCCTAGCCCTGATTTTGGGGGGTGGGCCTAATATAAGCCCTACCCCAAAAATAAGCCTGGGGTGGGTGGGTGGGCGTGGCCGGCACAAGCGGCGGCGAACGCACAGAGGCCGACGGTGTCTGGCAGCTACTACAGCCCGCCGGCCCCTTGGAGCAGGGCAGGTAAGTCCAGCGCGGAGACAGAGGCAGGGCCGAGGCAGGCGATCTGGACACACCGCGCACTTTTTGCCCAGGGACTCGCTCTGTTTCCAACCACCCCGTTTGCAAGCAGACGAAGGTTCCAGTCTCCCTCATTTCTCCAGCCCGGGACTATGGGGCGTTTGGAAACAGAGCGCGGTGGCGGAGAAAAATGACGGAGCTGGAAAGCAGGTTAGCGAAGGAATGTTTGGGGAAAGGAGGGGAGCTGCACAGTGGTGCACCCAGCTCTCCAGCTCTCCAGCTCCACGGCGGCAGAGAAATGCAACGGAGCTGGAAAGCAGGTGGCAAGGCAAACCCCCCCCAAGGGCTCCAGGCGCTAAAAGGGGCCCATCTGTCTCCAGCAGCTGCCCAGGCCCACCGGAGGGCAAGGCCGGCATCTACTGAAATGCAGTGGCATTCCGGCTCTGGCGAGAAAGGGGCAGCCGGCAGGCAGGACGCCCACCCGCTTCAGCATCCTCCTCAAAGCTCCGGGGCTCCGCCAGTGCTTTGGCCCTGGGCTGCTGCCTTCCCGCTCACCTCTTGGGCAGGCCGGGCCAGGAATGGCAGCCCCCCAGCATCCCCGACTCCAAGACCCCCACTCCGCCCGGAGGAGTGTCAGCCTGGCCACCCCCGCCTCAGTGCCCTTCCCGCCGCCGCCCAGCACGGCCGCCCCAAGGCTGCAGGGGCTGGCCTGGCACAGGAAGGGCACACGCCCCCCCGAACTCTCTCATACCGGTAGTAGGTCCGCCCCCACGCTCCGAGGTTGGCCCAATCGCCACCGCGCTTCGAAGCTCTGCGTCTCCACCCCATGCGCAGGCCACGCCCCACTGTTTGTACCGAGCGTCGTCCCGCCCCGCCCCCACGCGCTCGCCACCTGTTGTACATGGGAGACATAAGACATCCCCTGAAAATAAGACCTAATGGGTCTTTTGGTTCCCCCCAAAAATATATATATAAGCCCCGGTCTTATTTTCGGGAAAACACGGTATAATCCTCTACTATCTACCTCCGCTCGCTTATTTTCACACAGAGGCCTTTCCATTCAAGCAGATACCTGCATAATCTGAGTCCTGGTGGCGCAGTGGTTAGAATGGAGGACTGCAGGCAAACTCTGCCCGCAGCCTAGAGTTTGATCCTGACGGGGCTGAAAGGTTGACTCAGCCTTCCATCCTTCCAAGGCCAGTAAAATGAGGACTTAAATTGTTGGGGGCAACATGCTACCATTTGTAAACCATTTAGAGAGTGCTATAAAGCAGAGGCCCCCAACCTTTTGGGCTCCAGGGACCAGTTCTGTGGAGAAATATTTTTCCACGGGCAAGAGGGGTCGTGGTTTCGTGTGCTGCCTACATCCAATGGATGGGGCTTCCCTTGTTTGCATGACCCGGTTGCTGGTATGCTGCAGCTCGGTGCCGATCCACAGACCAGGGGTTGGGGACCCCTGCTATAAAGCACTATGGCAGGGGTAGGCAACCTCGGCTCTTTTATGACTCGTGGACTTCAACTCCCAGAATTCCTGAATCAGCAACGCTGATTCAGGAATTCTGGGAGTTGAAGTCCACGAGTCATAAAAGAGCCGAGGTTGCCTACCCCTGCACAATGGGGTGGTATATAGTCTAAGTGCTCTTGCTCATGCTAATTTCTTCCTCCATCTACCCACTGCCAAAATGTTTACGCTTCCACTGCTTAAGTGGGAAGGAAGAAAGGCAGCAGTTTGGAAGAGCTCCATTGCTGTACTAAAACTATGCCTATATATAAGAGGAAAACCTGGTGTAAATCTTGGGTGAGGTTCCAAGAATTGCAGAGGGCCTTTTTCTACTCATCCCCTTCTTTGCCACGGAAAAGCTGTGGTTTTTCCCAGATCCCGGCTATTCTTTTCAAAGCTCTCACCATGGCGCTAAGAATCAGAAGCAATTTTGTTCTCACTCTTTTCCTCCTCCTTCTGCTCCTCCCACTACAGGTAGTCCTCAACATATGACCGTAAAGGAGCTTGCCCAGTATGGTCTTACGTTGTGATGGTCATAAATCGAGTCGCTCACATGCTCAACCCAACTTTACGACCTTTTTTTTTGGCAGCAGCAGCAGTCATTAAATGAACTTGGCACTTGTAATCACCACAGTCGTTAAAGGAGCCCTGAGGTCAGTAAGTGAATCCATTGTTTGCTATGGCAGTCGTGCCAAAAACCAGAAGCAACCTCCAGTTATCGGCAAAGACATCATAAAATGTGATCACATGACTGCGGGACACTGCAAACGGCTGTAAAGGCAGCTGTGTTGCAGATGCCTGAAGTGCGTTCAAGTGGCTGTGTGGAGGGAGGGACTGTCACAACTTTAGAACTGGGTCATCCTTCCTTTTTTCCAGGTAAGTCATAACTTTGACTGGTCGTAAGTCAAGGACTACCTGCATTCAATAGTTCAGGTTTTGTACAAGCTTAAGAAAACCCTGAGCAGAAATCTCAGCTGGGATGCTGTATCGGTCTCCAATTTTTGTTGTTGGTGCTGCATTCCAATCAGTCCCGATTCCTGGCCGCTGCCTGGCCAAGTCTCTATGGTTTTTGTTTAAAATTCCCTGACTTTTATTATTTACCTTTGATTTCCTTTGTGAAACGGACTCTCTGAGAATCAGTCAAAGGCTTTGGCTGCTCGTCAATGTTCCGGATGTCCAGGACTTCACACATGAATTCAATCACTGGTTGAGCCTTGTAGAACGCCGTGGCGGACACTAAGCAGAGAAAGGTGTTAAGTGAATCACAACAGTATCATTTCTCATAACCGTTGAAACACCCTTGTTCAAATTAACCAGACAGACAAAGTCCTCAGCTACTCTTGGCTTTTGCAGCGTATCTACAATTTTATAATTCTTATCCAAACACCTAAGCTCCTTAATTCTCTTGCTACACCTTTTCAAATTCTTAATACCAACAAGATGCTCCCAATGAAAGTTCTTCCTCTAGTCACTCAAGATTTTTAATTATTCCTTTTAGTAACAGAGATGTATCATTTATTCTTCTGTAATGTTAATGGCTATGGAACCAAAGCCTACTCTTTAACTTCTAGATTAGTCAATCAACAATATCTTCTAGAATTCATAAGGATCCCTTATCTGTTTTTAACTACAAGTTCTACAAAAGTCTTTTTTTCCCAAAAATAAGGGATGACATTCTCTTTAAGAAGTTCAATTTTATTTTATTTTTGCTCCCATGGGATTGTAACACACACATAACTTGATTAGCAGATCAAAACCAAGAACTTTACCCCTGAAGCACTCTAAAATGCATATTAAAAGCATTCTGAGCCTTCCAAAGAACATGAAATGTTACTGAAGTTGTTTAATTGAATGTTTTTTCCTCTGGTCTTTTCAGAAATTCCTCCCAAAAGTTTTTAGCGAGACCTTTCACAAGCCGTCAAACAACTCTGCACTGAGATTATCAAGTTAAAACATCGCAATACAACCTGAAATATGAGGGGGGGGGGGGAAGCAGTGGAGCATCCTCTCATCCAACCTTACCCAGATGTGTTGAATTTTGCTCATTGGGAATTATGGAAATGAACGTCTAAGAGTTATTCTTAACCTCAGCAGCTTTAAGGTGTGTGGACTTCAACTGCTAGCGTTCCCTAGAATTTCCCAGGATGAAGTTCACACATGTTAAAATTACTGAGACTGAATAACACATCTGGACCATATTAAATGTGGGATGGCTGTACAGAACACTGAGCTTCTCACAGACTCTTATTGATACAGGTAGTCCTCGGCTTACAACAGTCCATTTAGTGACCGTTCAAAGTTACAACGGCAGTGAAAATAATGACTAATGACCATTTTTCACACTTATGACCATTGCAGCATCCCCAGGGTCACGTGATTTACATTCGGGTGCTTGACGACTCACACTTATGGCGATCGCAGTGCCCCGGAGTCATGTGATCCTCTTTTGTGACCTTGGGACAAGCCAAGTCAATGGGGAAACCAGATTCACTTAACAACCATGTTACTAATTTAACAACTGCAGTGACTCGCTTCACAAATGTGGCAAGAAAAGTCGTAAAAGGGGGCAAAACTCAAATTTAACAAATTTCTCACTGAGCAACATAAATTTTGGGCTCAACGGTGGTCGTAGGTTGAGGACTACCTGTAGATATGCCTTCAAACAGAGATGTGTAAGTATGATTACCGTCTATATTGAGCATCATCTTCCACATGGCAGGTCTGACAGACTGATGGAAGCCAAACCAGACCTCTCGGCCTCCTCCCAGCGGGTGGTAGTATCCTTCAGGAGGAGAGAAGAAGGAACGTCCTACTGGAGTGTATCTGGGAAGATCATTAGAAACAAGGAGCCATGTTACTCGCTCATGAAAGCTCACAATAACTTTGATTTCAATATTATTCTCATCTCCTTCTAAGAAAATGCAAAGCCCAGATCCTGTCTCCATATCTACAAAATTATTGAAACATTTATATCAGGGGTAGGCAACCTTGGCTCTTTTATGACTCGTTGACTTCAACTCCCAGAATTCCTGAGCCAGCACGGCTCAGCTTGGAAACCGCTCCCTTTCCCCTCAGCGTGGCTGGCTCAGGAATTCTGGGAGTTGAAGTCCACGAGTCATAAAAGAGCCAAGGTTGCCTATCCCTAATTTATATACAGTAATACTGCTGGCTTTATCACATTTCAGTGAAATGTATATGAGAGAATTCTTATTTTGTCCTTTCCTCCCCTAAAAATTCCTGAAAATGATCTATAAAAGAGGTTCTTGATCTTTATTCATGGTGTCCCCCCCAAATTACTACATAAGAGGGATGTTAGGTCAAAGGATTACCGAATGGAAGTAAGACACATCTCAAGCTAGTTATGAGTACCTTCTTGGTATTCATTTTTCAAACATATCAAAGAACTAGATTTTACCTCATGGAAGCCAGGTGCCTCATGGCGACATCAAGGGCCTGGACAGATTCCAAAGGAACAGGGATTTGCCCACTCACTAGAGCTTCATGGAGCATCCGCCAACTCACAATGGCCATCCATTTAATGGAGACTTTAAATATTCGGTCTTTGCCTTCCCCTGGAATTGTCACCTCAAAATCAACCTGCAATGGACCAAGGAAACAAGACAAACCCTTGAATTTTGGTTTCCTTCCCTTAATCCAAAAATGTAATTTGCTGTCACCTGCTTTGCACATTCCTGGAACAATCCAAATGTTGAAAAAACCCAAAATCTGTTCGTTCTGAATCACAGCCATGTACTGCAAACAAGAAACAGCAAGGAAGCAAGCATGCTATTACAGGAGGTCCTCTACATACGATCATAAGGCAGGCTGCCCTTCACGGACACAAGTCGTAATGGTCATAAAATGGGTCAGTCATGTGGGCAACCCACTTTTACAAACTTTTTTGCAGTGGGTCGCTAAGAGAACCGTTGGAAGTAATTGCCAGTTTTCAGCAGAGCTGTCATAAAATGTGGTCATGTGACCACAGGACACTGCAAACTGAGGTAAATGTGACCAGTTGTAACTCAAGGACTATCTGTGTTTATTTGTTAGATTCCAATCTTTCCTCCTTTGATTTTTTTCCCCCCACATAATCATCCTGTATGGTAAGTTGGTCTGAGAATGAGCAGGCTAAGAGTGGCTGGGTCAATCTCTCAATTCCATGGCTGGCTGGGTCAATCTCTTCCTGGTTTAACATCTTAACTATGATATCATCCTGACCGGGACTTCACATGTGCAAATATTTCTTGCTTTCAGAACAGGAACACTAAAGGTTGTTTCATCCTTTTTTTTCCTTAATGGAAAATATTTTGAATTCATAACTTATAGAAGTGTTCTGACCACACCAGAAGAACGTTGAGTTCCAAGTAGCTCTAGTACAGGGGTCCCCAACCTTGGCCACTTTATGACTTGTGGACTTCAACTCCCAGAATTCCTCAGCCAGCTGAGGAATTCTGGGAGTTGGAAGTCCACAAGTCATAAAGTGGCCAAGGTTGGGGATCTCTGCTCTATTACATTCAGAATGTCTTGTACCGTCAGACATCCTATTTTGCATCTAAAAGGGGTTTTGCACCTGCCTTTTATCTTCTTACCCTTTCGTTTCCAATAGGCAGAGCTGTGACGGTGTAGATGTTCTTCTTTCCATCGTACACCGGTTTCCGGTCTCCAAAGATCTGAGGTTTGAAGTGTTGTACCATATATTCCACAACCTCCCTGCAAAAATAAAAAAAAAGCAACAGACAGACATCGGACAGGGAGAGGAGGAAAGAAAAAGGAGAAGCTAGAAAGATGGACTTAAGTATAATTCTGCTAGGAAGCTAAAATGGTTAGAACTGAGAGCCGGAGGTAAAACCCACTATTTCTCAAGTCATTGGTTTCAAGGCAGAAACTAAGAGCTTTGATCTAAAACAGGCTTAACACAATTGCCTGTTGTGCGTGAACTGGCTAGGCCAGGGGTAGGCAACCTTGGCTCTTTTATGACACATGGACTTCAACTTCCAGAATTCTGGGAGTTGAAGTCCATGAGTCATAAAAGAGCCAAGGTTGCCTACCCCTGGGCTAGTCCAAACTCAAACACAAGCATGCTGAATTTATAAAGTCTGCAACGCCGACCAGTGTGTAATACAATCACAGTCAAACATATTTAATATAGTAAATTGGATTACATTGGGTTGGGAAAGTGTGTTTTTTCAGCACAGGGGGTATCAAAAAACTCAGAAGGATATGCAACTTACATGATGCAGTTGCAGATGGCCAGTTGCCTTTTTTGACTCGACTTACGACCGGTTACTTAATGGCCATTCCAAATTGTGATGGACATCCCCAAAATTACCCATTTTCAGAGTTACAACAGCTGTACATGTTCCCTGGATTGCATTTTGGACCACCTGACAACTGGCCCATTGGCTCACCTTTACAATTTGTGCACAATTTGAGATGTTGTGCACAATTTGGAATGTTTTTGCCAAGTTTCCCGTGTTTACTTGCAACAAAAAAGAAAGAAAAAAAAACATCCATTGGGGAAAATATATCCACTTAATGCCTGCGGGGTTCACTTAACCACCATTGTAAAAAATAAAAACAGTTATTTCAAATCTGGTGAGGTGATGCCTCAACTTACAATCGTTAACATCTTACGACCATAATTTTGGACTCAATTACAGTCCTAAGTCAAGGACCTCCTGTAGAGTCTTGCACTGAGAAGAGACTTGGCATCAAAGACTTCCATGGCCCTTCCAACTCTTAAGACTTTGGAAAGCTGTGAGTAGCTTCATACTTTTGCACAAGCTCCCCTTGCATCTGTGACCCCCCCAATTTTAAAACTACAGGAAGAAGGGTATTTAAATGGCAGCCCAGCTGTCTAAGAGCAGCTATTTTAAAAGCCTGGGACCACAGCCAGCTCCACCCAGCTGCTGTAAACTGACCGGAGATGAAGCTCAAGGCTCTGTTTTCTTCTGAGCCACCAAGGCATGACTGGAGATGATGAGGGAAGAGAAGGGACATAAAACACCCTACTTAATAGGAGAGGGGGGCATCGAAAAATGTCATCTTACTCCCAGCCAACCTAAGCAAGAACAGCAGTTCCAGTCAGAGCAAAGCTGAACAGGGCCAAGCAACCAGGTAGGCTGAAACAGTTCGGCCCAAAAAAATGGGGTTTCTCAAAACTTGGCGACAGACAGGAAGAGATGTCTCTACATGTCTTTTTCTCTGCCTATCCCGTCCCAGCCCACAAGTTCTTCCTCTAGAACAGGGGAGTCCAACCTTGGCAACTTTTAAGACCTGTGTCTCAAAGACGCTTCTCCAAAAGGCAACTTGACCTTCTTGTTTTGCTTGAAGATATTTTGCTTCTCATCTAAAAAGCTTCTTCAGTTCTTCAAGCAAAACAAGCAAGTCCAGTTGCCTTTTGAAAAAGCATCTTTGGGACAACCATGACCTGGATGACTGAGAATCTCCATAGACATTTAAGACCTGTGGACTTCAATTCCCAGAATTCTCCAGCCAGCCATGCTGGTTGGGGAATTCCGAGAATTGAAGTCCACAAGTCTTAAAGTTGCCTAGATTGAACACCCCTCCTCTAGAACATGAGGAACATGTTCACCTGAGGCGTGGTTTTTTTTTCCAGTGAGGGCTGGAGGGAAGAAGAAATGGCTAAATGCGAATACTTGCCTTACCTGTTGACTCTGCGTGGACACTTGTCCGGCTTGATGTCAACTTCATAATGATAGACATCGATTTTAGGAATGTCCACCTCAAAATAGTTGGCCAAGAGTTTGATGGGCTTCCCAACAGTTCCTATCCCAGGCCGGCGAGGTGCTTGAAATACCTGCTGGAGGGGTGGCAGGTAAGTGCCTGCAGCAACTGCTAAGGAAAGAAAAATGAGAAGTGGAGGAAAGAAAGAGAGAGAGGGAGGGGGAGAGAGAGAGAGAAAGAGATAAGAGAGATGTGAGAAACCAGCAAACATTTTAGAGCGTCCAGACAACAGGTGTCCAACCTTGGCAATTTAAGACTTGTAGACTCCCAGAATTCCCCACCCAGCATTGCTTAGCCTTAGAGCAAGGATGCCCAAACTTGGCAACTTGAAGACTTGTGGACTTCAACTTCCAGAATTCCACAATGGCTGGCTGTAGAATTCTGGGAATTGAAGTCCAGAAGTCTTCAAGTTGCCCAGGTTGGACACCCCTGTTCTAGAGCATTCAATGTACCACATGTTTCAGTACGGAAAAGGTGTCCCTCTCCATCACCCTTCTATGTGTGCATCAGACTTCCTGCCTACCCCACCCCAGTCTACAAGAACTCCAGAGCTTTCAGTTTGGCACAACACAAATCAAAATACAGGATTACACTTTGATGTAACCCCCGAAGGGTCTGTTTATTTTATGTTGTCCTTTTGCCAACCCCATTTTTCTCATGGCTTTTCCTCCACATTTATTGAAAATAAATGCCATCCCATATTGATTCTCCTATAAAGCATTTCGGGAGAAAATTATATAATTTCTTTCTTTTCTTTTTTTTTTTGGACCATGTCTTGTCCTTGCCACGACATGGGGGGGGGGAATCAAGGTTGTAAGACAAGCAGCGTTCAAATCACATTTTAGCTTCTCTTTTTTTCAAAAGTGAACTGGGCCGATGTAATTAGTTTATAATTGAGTGTATTGCATGCCTCAGAAAACTGGATTAGTTTTAAGTTACCCGCGGATAAGACAGATGTGAAAAGAAATTCTACCTCCATGGCAAATGTTGTTTTGCATACAAAGGGTTTAGCTTCAATCCAATCCTCCTGGATAGAAATGGGCAAGACTCTACATACAGTCCTTGACTTAAAATCATTCGTTTTCAGTTCAAAATTACAATGGCACTGAACAAAGTGACTTACAACTGGTCCTCACACTTACAACCAAAACAGCATTTCCATGGTCACATGATCCAAGTTTGAGTGCTTGGCAACTGATACTTATTTACAACAGTTGTAGCATCCTAGAATCATGTAATTGTCGTTTCAACCTTCCTAGCTAACTTCCAGCAAGCAAAGTCAATGGGGGAAGCCAGATTCTCTTAATGGCCCCGTGATTCAATTAACAACTGCAATGATTTGCTTGATAACCCTGCCCCCCCCAAAAAAAGCTGTAAAATTGGGCATGACTCACTTACCAACTGCCTTGCTTAACAACAGAAATTCTGGTCACAACTGTAGTCGTAAATCAAAGACTACCTGTTACCCTAAACCAGGGGTAGGCAACCTTGGCTCTTTTATGACTCGTGGACTTCAACTCCCAGAATTCCTGAGCCAGCCATGCTGAGGGGAAAGGGAGAGGTTTTCAAGCTGAGCCATGCTGCCTCAGGAATTCTGGGAGTTGAAGTCCACGAGTCATGAAGGGGCCAAAGTTTCCCTCATGCTGGTTCAGGAATTCTGGGAGTTGAAGTCCACGAGTCATGAAGGGGCCATAGTTTCCCTCATGCCGGCTCAGGAATTCTGGGAGTTGAAGTCCACGAGTCATAAAAGAGCCAAGGTTGCCTAGCCCTGCTCTAAACCTTCAGTGTGGATTAAATGTAGACCAACTATGCTTTCCAGATGTTGCTGAATGTTTCACCAATGTTGAGAGAGTTAGGAATTGTAAATCAACCACATCTGAAGGACTGCCCAGTGCAGAGCATCTTGATTTGGAGCCTATTTAACGCAAGGGGAAAGTAGCTCCTTTCTGTTCGTTTTCATTACAGATTTGGTAATGTCTTCAGATCTTTGTTGATCTCTACTGTATTTTTTGAAATACATGTTAAAAAAGAAACCACAGCTGCCGTGCTAAAGGAAGAAAGGAAATATTATTTCCTGCTACCACTTATCCTCAAAGAGTATGTTAATAATAAACAAACCTACACCTTTCAACATCAGCCTTCAAACTGCCTATAAACTCCCAGAGGAATGTTACTGAACATAACATTTTAGTAGTGTGGCCTTTGGGGGTAAAAGTTGTAGGAAAAGAGCAGGCAGAGTTAAATGAGTCATAAGTCTGGAATCCTTATGTTCCCACAAACATTCCATTCACCCTTATCTGGCACCAATTTAGTACCGAACTTGGGTTGACTAGATTCTTGTATACAGGCTTGAGCAATGAATCTTAGAAGCTGTTGGAAGGTGGCCAAAGGCGATCACATGACTGTGGGGCTAGTTGCCAAGCACCCAAATCATGATTGCATGACCACATGGAAGTGGGGATGCCTAGAACTCCGAAAACCAGTCGTAACTACCGTGTAGTTGAAGTCGGCCTCTGCAGCCGAGGACCGAGCTATGAATTCAATCCATAGCTCAGTCCTCAGCTGCAGATCTCTTGCAGAACCGACCTGTGGATTGAATCCATAGATCGATCCTCGGCTGCAGTGGCCTTCTTGGAAAGGCCCGACTACGAAATGCAGGCCTGGCTGCAGAAGATGCCAGAGAAGACGTGGGCCAGCGAGGAGAGGCCTGGCTGCCAGGGAAGCGGGTGTGGGGTGCGTGGGGCAGATCCACACTCCCACCCCCACCCTAGCTTGATTTTTACGTGTCTCGCCCCAAAACCAGGGCTGATTTTTGGGATATTTATTTATTTATTTATTATTTAAATTTATATACCACCATATCTCCCTTACGGGACTCAGGGCGGTGAACAGGCAATAATAAAAATCACAATAAATATTGAATAAAAAGCCTGTTCTAAAATACCCCATATAAAACCCCTAAC